TGGGCATCTTCACGTCTGGAGGCTTGCACTGTCACTCTCTCGCCTGCAGGTGCTTGTGTCCTCCCGGGCTTTGGATTGCAAGCTCTGTGCGGTCAGGAGCCATGTCTTATACAGCCCTGCATCCCCCAAGCACAGTAGTCACCATGGTGCCCTGCCAGTTACATGCTGAACTAGAGGAAACACACTTTCATGAATAAAAAGTATGGTTTTCTTTTACCATTAAGTAGTAAGCCTTCCTCAGGAGCCTTTTGGAAAGAAGCTGTTATTAGTGAATCTAGAAAATAAGAAGTCATATGTCCTGGGTTGACCTTAACATGCCTGGATTACTCCTTTCGTCTGGTATAATTATTCATATCACCCCCTTTCGCTCTCAGAAGCCCCCGTTTGGACAGTAACTTAAGTGGACACCCTGATTATAAGGTGAACGATTCATTTTTTTTCACTGGTAGTATCAGTTTAATGCTATGGGTAAAAACTTGTTAGTATCTGTGTCTACATTTTTTTTTATCCTCACCTGAGGATATGTATATTGATTTTAGAGAGAGAGGAAGGGAGAGAAAGCAACATTGATGTGAGAGAAAAACATTGAACCTGTAATCTATGTATGTGTCCTGATTGGGAATCGAACCCTAAACTTTTTGATGTAAAGACAATGCTCCAACCAGCTGGGCCAGCTGGCCAGGGCTATGTCTACAGTTTAAAAAGAAGGTCTTTGCTGGTGTGGCTCAGTGGTTGACCATTGACCCAAGAGGTCCCAGGGCCGGTTCCCAGTTGGGCATATGCCCAGGTTGCGGGTTCCATCCCTGGTCATGGCGCGTATGGAAGGCAATTAATCAATGTTTCTCTCTTTTTCTCTCTCCCTTCCTCTCTCTAAGCATGTCCTCAGGTGAGGATTTTTTTTTTTTTAAAGGTCTTGGTGCTTGGATTTTTTGCCAATTTTACATTCAAATTTTAAATAAATAATATTTATATTCAGTCTGGCCTGACTTTAGACCTCATCCACTATTGTGCTAGTTCACATTAACTAATTGTTGTTACATTTTCAGGAATTTGTGAATTGGTCGAAGTCAAGTGGGTAGCTTGAAGTCTGCCATGGTGCAGTACTAATACCATGAAAATTGGCAAATGCCATAAACCTGGGCTTTTTTCCTCCAGGAGAGCCGGATGTTAAACATTTACCACTGCCCATAACTAACCAACAAGACCACGTGAATTTGCAGAACATCAGGCGCACTGCGATTTGCAGCCAAGAACCTGTGAGAGGGCTAAAATAATAATAATACTTTTCCTTCCACCGTCTAAGTTCTAGCTGGGCTCATAATCAAAGTAACAGAGGAATATTAATAGGAGAAAATCAAATTTTAATACATGTGCTTGGGGAATTCACATATGCATGAAAATGCCAAAGACACAGTGAGGTAAAATTTGGTATATATGTAATTTTTGACAAAGAAAGGAGGGGAACACACATGGCAGGTAAAGATTTGCTAGACAACCCAGAAACAATGAGATGGCGGGGGCCCCGATCTAGTAAACAGGCCCCTGCTTGAGGCCTTTCTGCCGACCATACTTCATTCAAATTAGGCCAAGGTGAGTATGGGCAAGATTTCTTTCCTGGAGCAGTTTTTTATATCTGAATCTCTTGGGCAGGAAAGAATCATTTCTAATTCTTTTGTTTCTTAATAGCCAGCTTTTTAAAAAATATGATTTTGTTGATTTGAGAGAGAGAGAGAGAGAGAGAGAGAGAAACATCAATAATGAGAGAGAATCATCAATTCAGCTGCCTCCTACATGCCCCCCACTGGGGATCAAGCTGAAACCTGGCCATGTGCCCTGACCAGGAATCAAACCGTGACCTCCTGGTTCATGGATAGACGCTCAACCACTGAGTGACACCGGCCAGGCTCCCCCCCCCCGAGGACATGCTTAGAGAGAGGAAGAAAGGGAGAAAGAGACACACACACATTGATCTATTGCCTTCAGCACGTGTCCTGAACGATTAAACCTGTAACCCAGGTATGTGCCCTGACCAGGAATCAAAGTGGCAACCTTTCACAGGACAGTGCTCAGTCAACTGAGCCACTCCGGCTGAGCTCAGAATCACAGGTTTTTGGGTGTCAAAAACTTTATTTCCCTTCAATCCTTTCCACTTAGGTGTCTGTTGCTAATGCATTACCCTTCAGACTTGTCTTAGGTATTCCCTACAGTGAGTGAAATCTAGGACTCTTTTCTTTAAAAACCCAGTACCTGTACAGACAAGGCTACTGTCAAACAGTGGACTCACGTTGTCCTTAAGTGAGATTGTTTAAGGTGGCAGGCATTTTCTTGTTAAAACTTGTGTTTCATTGTAGACCCAAGAGGAGGTGAAAGATGGGACTCCAGCCATGGTGTCCAGGGAGGCTAGAATGGAGGTTTGTCTGAAGGGACAGCCGGCCTGCTGGGGAAGGAGGTGGGTGGAGCTTAGGTAAGGTGTCCTTAAAACATTGTCTTCTGGGCCTAGGAATCCAGCTCTGTTGGTCAGTACTGACCTCCAGCATAAGGGGCATGGATGGTTTTACTCCAGAGCATTGGTTCTCAAACTCTTTTTGTTGTTGTTGTTGTTTTATATATTTTATTGATGTTTTACAGAGAGGAAGGGAGAGGGATAGAGAGTTCAGAAACATCGATGAGAGAGAAACATCGATCAGCTGCCTCCTGCACACCTCCTACTGGGGATGTGCCCACAACCAAGGTACATGCCCTTGACCGGAATTGAACGTGGGACCTTTCAGGGCATAGGCCGATGCTCTATCCCCTGAGCCAAACCGGTTAGGGCATGTTGTTGTTGTTGTTGTTGTTTTAACATATTTTTATTTCAGAAAGGAAGGGAGAGAAAGATAGAAGCATCAATAATGAGAGAGAATCATTGACTGGCTGCCTCCTGCACACCTCCTACTGGGGATCAAGCCCGCAATCTGGGCATGTGCCTTGACGGGGAATTGAACTGTGACCTCCTGGTTCATCGGTCCATTCTCAAACACTGAGTCACACCAGACGGGCAATACAATCTTGATTGTATGTTCTATTTCAGAATATAATGAACTACGTTAAGTAGTGAAGTAGTAGCTTTACACAGTTACTTCAAACAAAACCAATGAACATAATCTTGAAATACATCTCTAGTGATACTGAAAATACTTCATAGAGTAGTCCAAGATTAAAATTCACGGCTTAAAGAAGTCATTGTATGCCTGGCTGGTGCGGCTTGGTGGTTGAGCATCAACCTATGAACCGGAAGGTCAAGATTCAGTTCTGAGTCGGGGCACATGCCTGGTTTCGGGCTTGATCCCCAATGGGGGGCGTGCAGTAGATAGCCGGTCAATGATTCTCTCTCATCATTGATATGTTTCTAACTCTCCTTTTCCCTTCCTCTCTGAAATCAATAAAAATATATTAAAAAAGGAAGTCATTGTATGCCTCCTTGATGACCTCTGGTCTATTTTTGAGGCCCTTTAGAAGCAGGTGAATAATAAAAAACTGTATTAAGTTTTGGAAAGCTAATTTTCAAACAGCAATGCAAGTTTTGTGGTTCTGTGCTAAGGTGCCTTATTAAATACATAGGTGCAAATAAAAAGTTCCCTTTTAATCCTTCAACAACAATCTGTTGAAAGCCTGCTCTGTGCCTGGTGCCATGATGGGCTCTATTAGGGTGTAGGGGAGGGGGAGGGCGTGTTAGGGGTGAGGATATAGTGGGGTGAGGGCAGGGGAGGACGTAGAAAGAGGTGCAGAGGCGGGTGAGGCGCACTGCCTGCTGCCAGGGAGCTCAGTTTCAGAGGGGGAAGAGCAAATGAATGCCAACGGGCTTTGGTCCTGGTTTAAAAGAAAGGAAGTAACCACAGATTTGATTGCTCTGCTACTCAGGGTTTGCCTTTCTGGCATGTTGCCAGGTCCTGAAGATGAAATGCCAGGTAGGTGTGTATTTGAGTCCAGTGCTGCAGGGTACATTCAGTTAGTGTAAGTTAAAGAGTAACTTTCAGAACAAATGACATGTAATATTTTTGTCTTCTTTAGGGCTCTGGAACTTCATCCATTCTCCGTTAAACCTCTTCTTCGACGAGCAATGGCCTATGAAACTTTAGAGAAGTATCAGAAAGCTTATGTGGATTATAAAACGGTGTTGCAAATAGACTGCGGAATCCAGATAGCCAGTGACAGTATTAACAGGTAACGTGATCTGAGGGTTAGATGTTTTATGATGGAATGAGATTCTTTTTCTTTCCCTCCTTCAAGAATGGTGTCAAAGCGTACGAGTGTTCTCAGTGACTGACTTTACATGAATGATTGCTGCCTTTTCCTCCATCCAAACCAAATGGTTCTCTTTCCAACTTAATTTTTAAATATCCCATAATACATTGAGTTGTCCTCGAATACCTTGAAACTATTTTTTTTTTTTTGCAATTTAAAAAATTAATTTTAGAGAGAGGAAGAGAGAGAGCGAGAAACGACCGATGTGAGAGAGAGAAACATTGATAGGTTGTCTCCCACATGCACCTTGACCGACCTGGGGATTGAACCTGAAACCTGGGTATGTGTCCCGACTGGGAATTGAACCCACCACGTTTTGATGTATGGGATGATGCTCCAGCCAACTGATCCACACCAGCCAGGCCCTCTAATACCTTTATATTTGTTTCCTTTATATTTCTCCATTTATTACTATTCAGTGAATATTCTGTTTTTTTTTTTAGTTTTTTTAAATTATTAACAGAACTGTATTACAGATGTCTCCCCCATTTCCCCACTCCTTCCCCATCCTCCACTCAGCCCTTGCCGCACCCCTATTGTCTGTGTCCCTAGGCTATGGATATAAGTTCTTTGGTTAATCTCTTCTTGTCCCCGCCCCCCACCTTCCCTCTGACAGCTGTCAGTCTGTTCCATGCATCCATGCCTCTGAATCTGTTTTGTTTGTCAGTGTATTTTGTTCATTAGATTCCACATATAAATGAGGTAATTGATGTTATCTGACTTATAAATGAGATGATGTGATGTTGTCTGGCTTATTTTGCTTAGCATAATAATCTCCAGGTCCATCCATGTTGTCCAAAGGGTAAAAACTCTTTTTATAGCTGCATGGTATTTCATTGTGTAAATGTACCATAGCTTTTTCTTGTTTTGTTAACCCTCACCCGAGGATATTTTTTCCATTGATTTTCAGAGAGTGAAAGGGAGGGAGGAAGAAGGGAAGAGAGAGAAAGATTGCTGTGAAAGAGACACATTGATTGGTTGCCTCCTGCACTTGCCCCCGACCAGGTCAGGATTCGAACCTGCAACCCAGGTACCTGGAATCGAACCTATAACCCCTTGGTTTGTGGGCCAGTACTCTAACCATTGAACACACTGGCCTGGCCTGTACCACAGCTTTTTTATCCACTCATATACTGAGGGGCACTTGGGCTTTTTCCAGATCTTAGCTATTGTAAGTAATGCTTCTATGAACATAGGAGTGCATATATTCTTTCTGATTGGTGTTTCTAATTTCTTGGGGTATATTCCTATAAGTGGAATTGCTAGGTCAAAAGGCAGATCTATTTTTAATTTTTTGAGGGAACTCCATCCTGTTTTCCACAGTGGCTGTACCAGTCTGCATTCCCACCAGCAGTGCACAAGAGTTCCCTTTTCTCCACATCCTTACCAGCACTTGTTTGTTGATTTCTTAATGGTAGCCATTCTGGCAGGTGTGAGGTGATATTAATTTGCATTTTTTCTGATGACTGAGCATTTTTTCATATATCTCTCTTGGCCATCTGTTTGTCCTCTTTGGAGAAGTTTCTACTCAGGTCCTTTGCCAAGTTTTTTTTATTGGATTGTTTATCTTCCTTTTGTTGAGTTCTCTATATATTTTGGAAATTAAACCTTTATTAGATGTATCATTGGCAAATACGTTCTCCCATACAGTGGGCTCCCTTTTCATTTTGATGATGGTTTCTTTTGCTGTGCAAAAGCTTTTTAGTCTGATGTAGTCCCATTTGTTTATCTTTTTCTTTGTTTCTCCTGCCCTAGGAGACGGGTGAAAATTCTGCTACATGAGATGTCAGATTTTACTGCCTGTGTTTTCTTCTAGGATTCTTCCGGCTTCGTGACTTACATTTAAGTCTCTTATCTATTTTGAGTTTATTCTTGTGTATGTGTAACTCGGTGGTCTAGTTTCTTTCTTTTGGCATGTGCTTGTCCAGTTTTCCCAACACCACTTATTGAAGAGACTGTCTTTACTCCATTGTATGCTCTTGCCTCCATTGTCAAATATTAATTGACCGTAATGGCTTTGGTTGATTTCTGTGCTCTTTGTTCTGTTCCATGGATCTATTATGCCAGACTGTTTCGATTACAATAGGGATTGTGTTGAATCTATAGATTGCTTTGGGTAGTGTGGAATTATGTCTAATACATGAACATATTGTTTGTATCTTTCTTTATTTCTTTTTTCAATGTCTTATATTTTTCTGAATACAGGTCTTTTACCTCCTTGGTTAAGTTTATTCCTAGACATCTTACTTTTTTTTGTTGCAATGGTAAATGGGATTTTTTTTTTTAGTGTCTCTTTCTGAGAGTTCATTATTGGTGCATAAAAACGCCACCAAGCGCTAGCCGGTTGGGCTCAGTGGATAGAGCGTTTGCCTACGGACTGAAGGGTCCATAGATCAATTCCGGTCAAGGGCATGTACTTGCAGGCTGGATCCCTGGCCCTAGTCAGGGTGCGTGTGGGAGGCAATAGTCGATGTGTCTCTCTCACATTGATGTATGAGGAGGCCTTGAGCAAAATTGTAGAAAATGAGAATGGCACTTTGGATTAATTCATGTTTTAAATCATGCCTTACCTCCCCACATGGTCCCACTGTACTTTGGAGGAAACTGTTGGAAAGATCTGTATTCCTGGAGCTTGCACTCTGGTCACATGGACCCTGACAGCTTCCTGTCTGACTGGAGGAAAGGGATGGATATTGGTATTGGATCTAGACTGAACCTGGATCAGACCGTGGGCATTCACAGCCTCCTCCTTCCCCTCGAGCTTGTACCATCAGGAGTGTCCCCTGGGAGCTCTCCAAGCCGCTTGCCCTGCTGCAGAGCCACCTCGCTGCATGTCAGCTGCTGCCTCCTCGTACGTTCCTGACACCCTTTTTCTTTTTTTTTCTGGTTAACTCCATCTCATCCTTTAGGAGAGGATTGCTTCCTGGAGGAAATGGCTTTCCCTGATCTACTCATCTCTCTCCCCACACCATATGTGCACTTCAGGCTTCCTGCCTCAGTGCCCCCAGAACACCGTGCCTCTTATCACCCAGCTGCCATATTGTGTGCAAATGCTCTGTCCCTCTCTTCTTGTAAAATATGCTTTCTCTCATCCTTCTAGGAATTCCTTGAGGTCAGGACTTGTGTTTTATCCATCTTTGTAGTTTCAGGAACTTGCATGCTTTCTCCATCCTTCTAGGAATTCCTTGAGGTCAGGACTTGTGTTTTATCCATCTTTGTAGTTTCAGGAACTTGCACAGCAGATATCCTCAGGGAAAAGGTGTTGAGTGAATGCGTTCTCCAGCAGAGAGGGCATAGCTCACTCCGGTGCTGGGTGGGGCTCTCCCTGGGAGTCTCCAAAATCGTCAGGGGAAGTAGGAACTTCTCCCAGAGCCAGCGGTTCCTGTGGAACAAAGCAGGAAGGCACCTGCAGTCTCTGACAGAGAGGAGGGCCCTGCCGAAGAGCTGTTTTAGGAGTCGCACTTCATGGTGATAGGCTGAACCCTCTGAAGGGAGAGAGATGTCTGAGAGACCGAGTACTCACATTTCTGAGCCTTCCGCGTTATGTTTTCTAAAACAGTTGAAGTGTAAGTCACGTAACATAAAATTAACTATTTAAAAGTATGTAATTTAGTGACTTTTCTAGTATATTCACAGTGTTGTGCTATCTCTATCTAGTTTCCAGCATTTCATCACTCCAAAAGGAAACTCCTCATCTCATTCTCATTCCTCATTCTCCCTCCTCACATCCCCTGACAAACACTGATTTCCTTCCTGCCTCCGTGGATAGTTCATGTAAATGGAATCATAGGATATGAACCCTTCGTGTTTGGCTTCTTTCAAACATTAGGGAATGTTTTTAAGGTTCATCCATGGTGTAGCGTATATCTGTGCTTCCTTTTTTATGGCTGAATAATATTCCATTGCATAGATGTATTACATTTGTCTATCCATTCATCCATCAATGGACATTTGGGTTGTTCCCACCTTTTCGCTATTGTGAAAAGTGCTGCTATGAATATTGAAGTACAAGTTTCTGTTTGCATACTTGTTTTTAGTTCCTTTTGTTGTACACCTAAGAGTCGAATTGCTGGGTGATATGGTAATTCTGTTTAATTTTTTGAGGATTGCATTATACTTTTTATATGTGTGCAAGAAGGTTCTTTTATACAAACTAACTTTTAAGACTCATTTTTTTTAATTGAGTGGTTCTTGCTGGTATATTTATATATAAAATGAGGAGGCTTTGTCTGGTATCGCCATATATGCTTTTCTGTAAAATAGCCAGTTTAAAATTTTCACCATTCTTTTTCATGAATCCCATATTTATGCTTGCGTTTCCATCTAAGCAACAGCAGTTTTTTATTTACTGAAACATTTGTGCGTATTTTGTTCCTGTCTCCCATTAATCACATTCCTTTCTTCCTCTCCAGGAATCTTATATGTAAAATTCCCTGCATATACTTATTTACTCCCTGGCAACACATCATCTCTTTTCCGCTGCTTCTTCCTTCCTCCCTGCTGGTAATACAAGTTTTGCTTGAAAATTCTTATTTTCTAAAGCTTCTTTTTTCTTTTGCAGTTGTAGGTGGTTACCGTTATACATTATTTTTCAAATTTATTTTTTACACCAAAATATATGATATTTGGTTATCATAACCAAAGAGCAAATATTGAAGTTTCAGTTTAAAAAACTGGGAAATTATGTGTACGCTATTTGTCTCTATAAATATAAAAATTTTTCACACAAAAAGTACTACCGAGTTAACTAACTGGAATGCAGTCTACTAATTACCAGCCAACCCTCAGTCTTGAGGAGCACCCTTTTAAAACCAGATTCATTCCAAAGACATAATTCTGTTTTGTTTTTAAATAAAAGTGTGATATTTTATATGTTAAAAATGATGAAAGTGATAATCGGGGATGTTAATCTGAATTTTATGATGGCTATTAGGAAATGTCATTAATACAAGGACCCTCATAGACTCCAGTATCCTATTCTTTATTATTTATGCATATGAAAACAAAAAAAGTGAGTTATTTTAGAGATGAAAACAATATAAGGTAAGAGTATTTTAACTGCAGGTAAATATTTTAAGAAAAAGCAATATTCCACATGACGGTTTTAGCCCAGACGTTATTTATTTATTTATTTTTTATTGATTGGTTTGAGAGAGAGAGAGAGAGAGGAAGGGAGAGGGATAGACAGATAGAAACATCCGTGAGAGAGAGAGACATGGATCAGCTACTGCCTCCTGCGTTATTTATTTATTTTTTATTGATTGCTTTGAGAGAGAGAGGGAGAGGAAGGGAGAGGGATAGACAGATAGAAACATCCGTGAGAGAGAGACATGGATCAGCTACTGCCTCCTGCACATCCCCTACTGAGTTTGCAACCCCGGGCCTGTGCCTTGACTGGGAATTGGACCAGGCTCCCCTTTGTTCATAGGTTGACACCCACACCAGCCGGGCCGTTGGTTGATTCTTGTATGTGCCCTGACTAGGGATCGAACCCGTAATCTTGGAATGACTCTCTGAGTATCCCACCAGGGCAGCCCAGTCTGTACCCCCATCTTTACAGTCTGGGCATAGAAGTTCCCTAGTGCTTCTGAGCATTCTCAGGAATAATACATTATCCATTTAGTAGTCATATTACTTGTTATGTGGGACATTTCTTCTAGGCCTCCTCAATTTTGTTTTTATATTTTACCTTTTTAAAAATTAAAATGTTATTGCATGCATATTTTTAAACAAATTACATGCCGAAACCGGTTTGGCTCAGTGGATAGAGCGTTGGCCTGTGGACTGAAAGGTCCTTCGATTCTGGTCAAGGGCATGTACCTGGGTTGCGGGCACATCCCCAGTAGGAGATGTGCAGGAGGCAGCTGATTGATGTCTCTCTCTCATCTCCTCAATTTTGTTTTTATATTTCACCTTTTTAAAAATTAAAATGTTATTGCATGTATATTTTTAAACAAATTACAGATGTCTTAATTTTTATCTTTTGATACAAAAAGAATCTAAAGTTACATAATTTGGGGGCCCTAGCCTGGTTTGGCTTAGTGTATATAGAGCATCGGCCTGAGGACTGAAGGTTCCTGGGTTCGATTCTGGTCAAGGGTACATACCTGGGTTGCAGGCTCCTCCCTGGCCCAGGCCCTGGTCCGGGCTCGTGCAGGAGGCAACCAATTGATTTATTTCCATAACTTGGTTGCAGGCTCCTCCCTGGCCTGGGCCTTGGTCAGGGCTCGTGCAGGAGGCAACCAATTGATTTATTTCTCTCACATCGATATTTCTCTCTGTCTTTTCCTCTCTCTTCCACTTTCTCTAAAAATCAATGGAAAATATCCTCGGGTGAGGATTTAAAAAAAAAAGTAAAATAAAATTACATAGTTTTTGGCAACTTTAAAAAGTCCTTTTGGAGAGTTTATGTGGACAGGGAAGTACACAAATGCATAGCATTTGTAAATCTTACCTGTTTGCTTTGTTTTTGTTAATCCTCACCCTAGGATATTTTTTCCATTGCTTTTCAGAAAGAGTGGAGGGGAGGGAGAGAGGAGAGGAGAGAGAGAGAAACACCGATTTGAGAGAGGCACATTGACTGGTTGCCTCCCGCACGCGCCCTAACCTGGGGCGGGGAGTGAACCCACAACACAGGTATGTGCTCCTGACCGGGACTTTGTTTTGTTTTTGTTACTCCTCACCCTAGGATATTTTTTCCATTGCTTTTCAGAAAGAGTGGAGGGGAGGGAGAGAGGAGAGGAGAGAGAGAGAAACACCGATTTGAGAGAGGCACATTGACTGGTTGCCTCCCGCACGCGCCCTAACCTGGGGCGGGGAGTGAACCCACAACACAGGTATGTGCTCCTGACCGGGAATCGAACCCATGACTCCTTGGTGCATGGGCCGATACTCCAACCACTGAGCAGCACTGGCCAGGGTGCAAATCTTAACTCTTGATATGACCTTTGGTAATATAAAAAGCAAATTGCATGATCAATAGCGAAAACTCATGTTCTCTTTAGAATAACAAGAATTTTAATGGATCTGGATGGACCACGCTGGCGGGAGAAGCTGCCGCCCATACCTTCTGTGCCCACTTCTGCGCAGCTGCGAGTGTGGCGGCCTCCGGCAGAGACGCCCCCAGACCAAGTGGGAGATTCCTACAGCCATCACCAACCGGGCAGCACAGGTAGGGGAAGTCTGTACTCATTTCTTTCAAGGGTTGAGCCCTGTACATTTCACAGTAGAGCAGTAGAATAAGAGCATAAATATAGGCGTCAGACCTGGGATTAAGGCCCTGTGTACCCTCTTTCTAACTACAGAGTCTTAAGAACTTGCTTCACATCTCCAGGGTCCTACTGTATATGATAGGGATTAACATGAGCAACTGCCTCATGGAGTTGCTCCTAGGAGTAAATGGAGCTATGCATGTAAAATGCTTAGCACATGCTGACTGTGAGATCACAGTAGCCTCAATAAAGATAGCATTGTATTAACAGTAAGAAGGAAAAGAGTTAAGTCGCGTGTAGTTCTCTGTGACACCATTAAGACTGATGCGTTTGAGATAAAAAGCACCCTACTACGTAAGTAGGCAGCAGATACTTCTGCCTTATGTCACAGTTGTGAACGTGTCTGCATTGCCGTAGTATCTACCTCATTGCTTTGTGCAGTGGTTAATAAATGGGACTGCCCTCTTGCTTTCTGCTTTAAAGCTGGTTGAGGCCTCATTTCTCCTGCCTGCTGAGGACCTCCTGTGTGTTCCCTGGATGAGCTTCATCTTGCAGAAACCCCGAATGAAGGGTCCTGGGTTAACCTAAAATCTAAAATATACCTTGTTCCCTGGATGAGCTTCATCTTGCAGAAACCCCGAAGTTCCAGAGCCGTGGTGTCCCAGTGGCTAGTGTTAGACCTTCATCTCTCATTGCCTTGGAAGAAGATGCAGGGACCGTCTGCCAAGGCTTTTAGATGACTTAGCAGTCCCCGGGAAATCACAGAGATCTCTGCTTTTCTAGAGTCCGTTATAATGGGGCCTGGCTCAAAGCATTTGCTCAATGAAGGGTGGCTATAATGTACAAAGTACATATGCTAACCATACTGTAGATATGTCATAGCAAATCATCAGGACACGTATAGTCAGCTCTTTCTGTTCCTGGTGTACTGATTGCTAGTGAAAATGGACACCAAGGCTTACAAACCTTGTTGGAAGAAAAGCTGGAGGAAAGGTTTTTAATTTTTAGCAAACTGAGGGGGGAAAATACTGTGTTATTTTGTTTTAGAGCTTATATATACCAGCATTCATGGGGAGTGTCATTTGACCCCTTTGAAACTTGAAACATTAGAAATATTCTGTTATTTGAAATAAGAGAATGAAAAATTATGATTTTATGCCATTTGTACAGAGGGACAAATAAGATTATCATTTACATTCAAGTTTATGCTATAAATTCAATATACCTATCAAGATTTTTAGATCACAGAATTTAAAGGTATATTTTAGATTTTAGGTTAAGGATTTTTTATTTATATGAAGTTATTCATAGGGTAAAGTTACTACATAGATTTAAAACTTAAAATTTTGACAGTTTATGTGTGTTAGAAAACTTTGGTTGTAAGTAACAGAAAATCATAAGGAATGGTTTTGGCTCAAGTAACTAAAAGGGCCCAGGTGGGCTCTCAAATCATGCACAGCTCCTCAGAGTTCAGGCTCTGGCCGGAAACAATGGAACCACAGCAGTTTTAGGCTTCATGTCTGTACATATCAATGTCCAAAGGGAGAGAAACACCATTGCTTTTGGTGGCATTAATTTAAGAATGAGGAAATATGTTGCCCCAAAGTCATAGCTTTTTTATGCTGTTGTTCTATTGGCTCAAATTCTGTTGCTACCTTTTTAAAAAAAATGTTTTTATTGATCTTTAGAGAGAGGGGAAGTGAGAGGGATAGAGAGATAGAAACATCCATGGGATAGAAACATCATCAATAGGCTGCCTCCTGCACGCCCCCTACTGGGGATAGACCCCACAACCTGGGCATGTACCCTGACCAGGAATTGAACCAGCAACCTCTTGGTTCAACCGCTGAGTCACACCAGCCGGGCACTGTTGCTACTTATTCTAATGGGTCATGTGCTCATTCCTGAGCTGGTCTCTGATGAAGAAATGCTATGCGCTGGTTGGCTTAGGCCTGTATTCCTGATCAGTAGGGTCAGTTTCTCCTGAACACAGGGGCTGAACAGAAGGTGGTAGCTGCAAGGGACCCTCAGACTGTGATCACTGCAAGACAGTAGCTAATGATAATAGTTGGGACACCGATCGCAGATAACAAAACCCAACTCTTAATAGCTTGAAGCCAAAAAAAAAAAGAAACCAAAAACAAACAAACAAAAACAAACCAGGTTGTTTTGGGCTCTTACAGTGGAGAAGTCCACAGGTGGGTAGCTGCAGGGAAGGCTGGATTTAGGCCCCATTCTCCTTCAGCTCTATCTTGGCCTTTCTCTTGCTCTGTTGGCCCCATTCTCAGATAGATTCTTCCTTTGTCTCATAGGATGGCAACATTGCTCCTCCTTTCACCCTCATTCCCCGGGAAAGAGCAAGAATTACCTTATCAGATGCTGCCACAAAATTCATAGTGCAGCTCATTGACTCTCATAGGCCCAGCCCTGACTAATTAAATTGTTTTGGCCAAGGGAATATAATGTGTTGATCAAAAAAACCCCAAAGTTTACCCCAAAAGGTAGGGCTAGGGTAGGGGTTGCTTTAACCCCTAGAGTGCCGGGGAGCGCGATCGCGCTCCTCCTGTCTTTCGCCAAAAGTGCCGGGAGCGCTATCAAAGCTTCGAAATGGCGTCCAGTTCTAAGTCTGCTTTTGTTAGTGATGATGATATTGCTAAATGTGTCAATGTAGTAAAGGTTTCCTTAAGTTTTTGAATATGTACCGTCATTTACTTGCGATTCATAATTTTTTTCCTAAACTGCTGTGAAATCAGCAAAAATGCCCTGGCAATTTTAGCATAGTTCCTAGGATATTGGTTGGCACTCAAAGGGTTAAGCCACAGGCGTAAAGACTGGAGGAGGTGTGACTCTCCCAATAACTTTAGGGTACTGGACAAATGTCTACTTCATGCTTCAGTGGGTTGGTTTGTTTGTCCATTTTTCACGAAATAGTGATTTAATGAAACACTAGATTTTTATTTTTATTTTTATTTTGGAAAGCACATTGGTTAGAGCTGGGCTCAGTGAAAGAAGAAAGGGCTGAGGATAGTGGAAGCCACAGGAGAGCCTAAGCGGGGCTGCCTTAGCTCACAGGGAAGTCAGAGAAAAGAGCAACACTAGGTATTCCTGTCTCTAGCAGGGAAAAGGGATGCCAATGTGGATAAAGATGATAGAAGTACTTGTATTTTACATGTTTTCTAATTTGAAAAAAGTGTCATAATTGTATAATCACTTCCACTTACAGCCAATTTATCTTTCTAATTTGTATACAGTTTTGTTCCATTTAGACTCTAGCTCCGCACGGTATGGGGCAAGTTGATTTGCAATAGGAGATTTCCTTACAGCTGCACTTGAGATTTTGTAGAGGTGCTTCTATAAACATTTCCTCTGTTTTTATTTTTTGTGTTCCATAGATGACAAAATGTTTAAAACCCTTAAAGAAGAAGGAAATCAATACGTCAAGGACAAAAACTATAAAGACGCAATTAGTAAATACAGTGAATGCTTACAGATTAACAATAAGGAATGCGCCATTTATACAAACAGGCAAGTCCTTTGTAACTTTATGTATTTCTTATGTTAATATTTTTTATTTAAAAATATAGACAGATTAATTGTCCAAGTTTTTTTCCATGGTTCTGATAATTTATGTAGCAAATTGTCTAAGAGTTGGGGGGGCGGGCATAGGATTTCTGGAGAGATTGCAGACATGCAGTGTGGTGGGCTGGGAGGTCCGGTGTGGCCTGTGTTATGCATAGGCTGGCGTTCCGGCGTGGACGGGTGCTCTGACCCTTCCGGGCAGTGGCCTCGCTGCAGCTACAGGCCTGAGTGTTGTCCTCCTTGGTGGGAGTAGGACAACACTCGAATTAGTGTCATAAGTGCCCTTCTTCTCTTGAAGTGCTAAGGGGAGGGGTCAGCCTCTTTAGTGTGTGGTAGGAATGGGCAGATTGTTCTAGAATGCTGCTCAGGTGCCATCTTCACCACATTGTGGTATAAGGTAGTTACCTAGTCCTAGACCAGTGATGGCGAACCTATGACACGCGTGTCAGAGGTGACACGCAAACTCATTTTTTTGGTTGATTTTTCTTGTTAAATGGCATTTAAATATATAAAATAAATAGCAAAAATATAAGTCTTTGTTTTACTGTGGTTGCAAATATAAAAAAATTTCTATATGTGACACGGCACCAGAGTTAAGTTAGGGTTTTTCAAAATGCTGACACGCCGAGCTCAAAAGGTTCGCCATCACTGTCCTAGACTATGGTGATCTGGGGAATTTTAGAGAGTAGGTGGAATCTGGGGTGACAAGGAAAAATAAGGCATAGTTCCTAAAGAACGGGGACTCTTAGTGTGAGCTTTCTGGCTATTTCAGATTAATTCTTTTAACTGAACTTCTCACGGCTTTGTTTTTGTATCTTTTCCTCTGTTGGTAACCTTTTTGCCAAAAATTTGTCACTGACTGCACCAGGTGTTTTTCTACCCTTCTGCTCAGCCTCAGTGTTAGGGCTGCTCAGTGTCCCGGGACAGCCCCCTCTCCGTTTGGCGGCAGTGCCGACGGCTCAGTTGCCTGCCTCTCCTCTCCTCCCTCGGGCATTCTTGGGGTTCTAAAGGTGTAGACCCCTTTTTCATCCTCTATGCTCTCTGGCCATTTCATTCTCTCCGCAGTCCATTTAACCACCTTCCAGTTATGGCCTCTAACTCTGTCCCTGAGTTTCGGACCTGAGCGCTCCCTCCCCTTCTGCGCTCCTGATGGGTTATCCCCCTGACTAATGCCTCCCTTTTGACCCACCGTTTCTGCCTTTTGTCTGCAACACCCTTCACGTGTGCCTGCAGTCTTGTTCCCTCCTTTCTGGTCCTCCAAGTGGCAGCCAGAGGGCTCTTTCTAAACATGGTGAACACGTCAGCCCCTATTTAAAAACCCATTAAGTTCGGGATAAAGCTCAGCTTCCCTGGCACAATTTGCAAGGCCCCTTGTGATCTGGCCTGCCTGCCCTCCCAGTCTCATCCCTACACTACGGCCATCTGGCACTTTTCTTACCCCGTTAGGAACATGGGATATGATCCAGATACTGCCCTGTGCGGAGTGGCTCAGTTAGTTGAGTATCATTCCATGCACCAAAGGGCCACTGGTTCAAATCCTGGTCAGGGCACATATCCAGGTGTCGGGTTCGATCCCTGGTCTGTTGGCATATGGGAGGCTATCAATCGATGTTTCTCTTTCACCTCAATCTTTCTCTCTCTCCCTCTCCCTCTACTCTCTAAAAATAAATAAATAATAATAATAAAAATGCACATGCTGGCCCTTGACCTCCACTCTCCTCTCCCTACATCTTAACTCTCACCCCAGTGCCTTTGCTTTGGATAATTGTCACTTCAGACTCCGGGCTTCAGTTTAAATGTCTCTTCTCCTGGGAAGTCTTTTCTGGCTGCTCTTACCCTCTCCTTGCCCCCCCCCCCCAGATCTGATGAGACTCTCAGCTGTGTCCTCCCAGAGCACCCTTTACAGATTTTATTGTGTTTGCTTTTATTTTTAAAAATATGTTTTTATTGATTTGAGAGAGAGAGAGAGAGAGGAAGGGAGAGGGAAAGAGAGAAACATCAATAAGAGAGAATTACTGATGGGCTGCCTCCTGCACACCCCCTACCAGGGATGGAGCCTGCAACCCAGGCATGTGCCCTGGCCAGGAATCAAACCGGCAACCTCCTAGTGCATGGGATGCTCAACCAATGGAGCCACACCAGCCGAGCATGCTTGCTTGTTTTATTTATTTATTTATTTATTTATTTATTTACTTACTTATTTATTTATTTATTTATTCATTCATTCATTCATCCATCCATCCATTTATTTATTTATTATTTTAAATATATTTTTATTGACTTCAGAGAGGACGGTCGATGAGAGAGAAACATTGATCAGCTGCCTCCTGCACACTCCCTACTGGGGATGTGCCTGCAATCACAGTACATGCCCTTGACCGGAATCGAACCTGGGACCCTTCAGCCCGCAGGCTGATGCTCTATCCATTGAGCTAAACCAGTTAGAGCTGTTTGCTTGTTTTAATTGTCTCTTCCTTGAGGGCCGGGGCTGTATTTTGTTTGCAGTTATATTCACAGTGTCATAATTACATGTGTTGCAAGAAAATGCCATGATTGTACTTCAGTGTTAGGTTTTAATTGAGAAACAGCTGTGGTATATAGATACAGACTTAATGAGCTATTTTCTGATTTTTCTTAGCAGTCAAATTTATAGGTATATTGTCTTTCCCTTTCATAATACCGAGTTCCCTTGTTACACCAGAGCTCTCTGTTACTTGAAGCTGTGCCAGTTTGAAGAGGCAAAGCAGGACTGTGATCAGGCGCTTCGGATAGATGACGGGAACGTGAAAGCGTGCTACAGACGAGCTCTTGCTCATAAAGGACTCAAGGTGAGGACCTCTTCATTTCAATACATAAAGTTCAGCTCCGAACAAATCAGGTGGTTTTCATGAACATCAGTCTCGGGATCTAGGAACGGTAGTGAGATTATCCTGGGATTTGATCCTAGTTCTGTACGAACCAGCCCTGAAACCTTGGGCTAGGCCTCAGCTTTCTCCGGATTATAATGTGGAGCTAGATAATTTCTAAGGCTTCTTCCAGCTCAAAAATGATGATTTATTTCCTGATTTTCTAAGGAGTGTTGTTAGTTATGAAAAGCCTACTTAAAGGACAGGAATGTTTTTTTTACTGACTTACTCCAGGCCACCAGCAATGCCATTGCATTTCTCCAGCAAAGGACTGGGGTTGTCTGGGGTGGGAGGAAGGCGTCAGAAGGGAAGATGGTAGAGACATATCAGAAATTGGGAAACTCATGTTGAGTTGGGTCTTAACTGACTGGCGGTCAGTATGGGACTAGCGAGTGGGCATTCTTTAAGAGAATCACACTTTCAAAGAAAGTATTGTATAATTATGCTTTGGGGTTTATTTTTGTTTTGGTCTTTAAATATTTTTGTTGCTTTTGATTTGAGAAAGAGAGAGAAACACTGACTGTGCTTTTCCACTCATTTATGCGTTCATGGGTTGCTTCCTGCATGTGTCCCGATGCGGGATTGAACCTGCAACCGTGGTGTACTGGGATGATGCTCTAACCAGCTGAGTTACCCGCCAGGGCTGCTTTTGTTTATGCTGGTTCTTCTGCATGGAAAACGTGAATGAATGTTCATGTTTGTCTAAAATAACATCACAAGGGAAAATGAGACCATACAGAACAAAATGAAATGGCGCTTTTTTTTTTTTTTAATACTAACCCTGGCCTATTATGCTTTCTGCTGGTCATCTTTTTATTTTATTTATTATTATTTTTTTTTTATTTTTAATCATCACCTGAGGATATTTTTCCATTGATTTTTAGGGAGAGGGGAAGAGAGCGAGAGCGGGAAAGATGGAGAGAAAATATCAATGTGAGAGAAACACATCGATTGGTTACCTCCTGCACAAGCCTTGACCAGGGCCCGAGCTGGAGAGGAGCCTGCAACTGAGATATGTGCCCCTGACCGAATCTTTCTGCTGGTCATCTTTTTATTTTATTTATTATTATTTTTTTTTTATTTTTAATCCTCACCTGAGGATATTTTTCATATCTGCCAATTTATTTCTCAGGAGAAAGAATGGGTATGATTAGAAAGAGAAACACATCGATTGGTTACCTCCTGCACAAGCCTTGACCAGGGCCCGAGCTGGAGAGGAGCCTGCAACTGAGATATGTGCCCCTGACCGAATCAAACCCGGGACCTTTCATTCTGCAGGCTGACACACTATCCACTGAGCTAAACCGGCGAGGGCTGAAATGGCATTTTTAATAGTCATTTTGATTAAGGTCTAATCCAGTGAAATTCACACATTGTAAATGTGCAGATCTTGGATTTCTTTCTCAGCAATTTTTTTTTAAATTGACATAGTAGTTTCATGTGCACAACATAATGGTATGTATATATAGCAAAATGATCACCATACTATCCATCACCACACAGTTATAAATTTTTTTCTTGTGATAAGAACTTTTAAGATCTATTCTCTTAGCACTGTCAGATATATACTACAGTGTTATTAACTACATTCACCATACTGTACATTACACCCTCATGAATTATTGATTTTATAATTCGAAGTTTGTACCTTTTGACCACCTTCACCCATAGTGCTTATTCTCCACCCCTCACCTCACCTCTAGCAACCACCAATCTGTTCTGTGTATGAGTTCGGGTTTTTGTTGTTGTTGTTGTTGTTTGTTTGTTTAGATTCCACATAGTAGTGAGGTCATATGGTAATTGTCTTTCTCTGTATGACTTATTTCACTTGGCATAATGCCCTCAAGGTCCATGTTGTTGCAGATGTCAGGATTGCCTTCTTTTTTATGGCTGAATAATATTCCACTGTGTATATACACACCACATTTTCTTTATCCATTCTTCCATCGATGGGCACTTAGGTTGTTTCCAGTTGTTGGCTATCGTAAATAACGCTGCCGTGAACATGGCGGTGGGATATCTTTTTGAATTAGTGATTCTGTTTCCTTTGGATATAGACCCACAAGTAGTATTTTTAATTCTGAGGAAACTTCGTATTGCACCAGTTCACATTCCATCAACAGTGCCCAAGGGCTCCATTTTCTCCACATCCTTGTCAACACTTGTTATTTTTGTCGTTTTTATAATGGCCATTCTGACAAGCATGAGATGTTATCATTGTGGTTTTGGTTTGCATTTCCCTGATAATTAGTGATGTTGAGCATCTTTTTTCTTTTCTTTTCTTTTTGTTAATCCTCACTTGAGGATATTTTTCCATTGATTTTTAGAGAAAGTGGAAAGGAAGGGAAGAGACAGAGAGAGAAACATTGATGTGAGAGAGACACATCGATTGCTTGCCTCCTGCAAATGCCCCCAACCAGGACTGGGGATCGAGGTACATGCCCTTGACCAGAATTGAACCCAGGACCCTTCATTCTGAGGGCCGATGCTCTATCCACTGAGCCAAAAGGGCTAGAGTGAGCATCTTTTCATGTACCTCTTGATCATCTGTATGTCTTTGGGAAAGTTGTCTATGCAAGTTCCTCTGCCCATTTTTTTATCGGATTGTTTGTTATTTTGCTATTGAGTTGTATGAGTTTTTTATACTAGTACATTTTGGATATTAATCCCTCATCAGATAGATGATTTGCAAATATTTTCTCCCACTCAGTAGGTTGTCTTTTTATTAATGGTTTTCTTTGCTGTGCAGAAGCTTTTGAGTTTAATGTAGTTCCACTTGTTTATTTTTGCTTTTCTTGCCTTTGGTTCTAGTGTCAGATCCAAAAAATCATCACCAAGACCAAAGTCAAGAAGCTTACTGCCTATGTTTTATTCTGGTGTTATGGTCCCAAGTCTTACATTCAAGTCTTTTTTTTAAAAAAAATATTTTATTGATTTTTTACAGAGAGGAAGGGAGAGGGAGAGGAACAGAGAGTTAGAAACATCGATGAGAGAGAAACATCGATTCAGCTGCCTCCTGCACACTCCCCACGGGGGATGTGCCCTCAACCAAGGTACATGCCCTTGACCAGAATCGAACCCGGGACCCTTCAGTCCACAGACCGACGCTCTATCCACTGAGCCAAACCAATCAGGGCAACATTCAAGTTTTTAATCCATTTTGAATTGACTTTGAGGTATGGTGTAAGAAAGTGGTCCAGTTTCATTTTTTTGCATGTGGTGTCTAGTTTTCCCAGCACCATTTATTGAAGAGACTTTCCTTTCACCAAAGATAGTTCTTGGCTTCTTTGTTATAAGTTAATTGACCATAAATGTAATAGGTTTATTTCTAGGCTCTGTTCTTTTTCATTAATCTATATCTGTGTATTTATGCTAGTATTGTACTGGTTTGATCGCTGTAGCTCTGTAATATAGTTTGAAATCAGCAAGTGTGATGCCTCCAGCTTTGTTCTGCTTTTTCAAGATTGCTTTGGCTATTTGAGATGTTCTGTGGTTCCATACAAATTTTAGGATTTTCCTATTTCTGTGAAAAATGACTTTGGAGTTTTGATAGGGATTGCGTTGAATCTGTAGAATGCTTTGGGTAGTATGGACATTTTAACGATATTAATTCTTCCCACCCATGAGTCCAGAATATCTTTCTATCAGTATCTTAAGCGTTTTCGGAATACAGGGCTTTCATCTCCTTCATTAAATTCATTCCTAGGTATTTTATTCTTTTTGATGCAATTGTAAATGGGACTGTTTTTCTTAATTTGGCTATTGACCTGAATAATATATGTTCCCATGTAGCCACTGCCTCAGTTAAGGTAGAGAACATTTTCATCTCTCCAGAAAGTTCCTTTTGCCCATTGTCTTTAATCTCCCCCCTCTCACCCCACCCCACTTATCTAATGGCTGCCGCTATAGATTAGTTGGACACAGGCCCAGGTTGTGAGCTCGATCCCCAGTGGGGTGTGTGCAGGAGGCAGCCGATCAATGATTCTCTCTCATCATTGATGTTTCTATCTCTCTCTCCTCCCCCTTCCTCTCTGAAATCAATCACTCAGTGTATATGTATGTATGTGTGTGTGTGTGTATATATATATATGTATATATGTATATATGTATATATGTGTATATGTATATATGTGTATATGTATATGTATATGTTTTAAAGAATACAGTTGTAGCCACATAAAGAGGTGGTGCAGAGGGTGGGATCTAGGGGGGTCCTGAGCGCAGGGGCCTCTGTCTGAATGGAGCTGGATGGGCCGCCCTCCCAGCACGTGGTGCAGTCACCAGCCCGAACCCCACACTTGCCTGCGTGACCCAGACACCCTGCGCCCTTTTGTTTTGTTAGCATCACTCATTTGTAAACCTCACCAGAGATTTCCTAGGCGGTGTGTGGCACCATGAATTAAAGTTGTCTCTTCAAAGTTAACTCAACTTTTATTGAGCTCAATGGATTTGGGTGCATGAGGGTAGATCCGCGTGACGCACTGGTTTCCATATGTCCAAACACTTCAGCGGCTTGACCTCATTCTGGCTGCCTGACTCGGAACTTGTTTACCCGACTGGAAGTCAGAAGATGTACCGAATGAAAGACCAGAATTTCATACTTCCTGGAGCAAATTCCAGAAATTGTATTGTGGAGGTAGAAAGACAATCCCAAGTCTGAGGAATCCTGTTCCACTAAATGAGGAGGCCGGCGGCTTGTTTTTCTGGTTTGACTTCTTAGGGCTTGATTTGTCTGCCCTGTCATTAGAGCTCTGTGCCAAGGGAATTGTTCCAGGATCTGCACAGGCTGCGGCAGTTTATTAATGTGTCGCTCACCCCTGGACCCGCTTCCTCCGGGGCCGGGATGAGGAAGTGGCCCCAGGGCCCACCATGACAGGTGCCCCCAGCTCTCGGGGGAACCCTGCTGCTTGGATCCCCTGTCTCTCTCCTAGCTGGCTTCCATTTCTCTGTGGGCCAGTTTGAAAAACACAGAGCTTTCCTTAATGTACAGTTGTTCTTCACAAGAAAAGGTAACCGGACATTTTGCTGTTGACTTACAATCTGTTTCTTTGATGGAGCGCCGCTTCTGTGCTAGGCTTGGGCACCGTCGAGGTGAGTGAGACCTAGGGCCTGCCTTGTGGAATTTACAGCCAGTTGGCGAGGCTACGGTACCAAGACATCAAAAAGCTTCTGTCGTTGGGATAATCTGCCTACATCATAATGCAATTTCTGGAATAGCCAATTTTTATTGATATTAGTTGAAGCACATCTATTAATAGTAAATGTCATCATAAACCCATGTGATGGTACTTCATTTTTTTAAGGCCCAGTGAGATCAGCAGCAGCTTTTACTGTCCTCTTCCTGCCAGAGCCACACTCTGTTTGTATAACCTTCTCCTTCCCTCCACCCTGCAGGCTGCTTTCCCTTCAGATCCCTCCCCCTCCTTAGTATCCATCTTAACCTTTGGTGTTCTTAATTGCATTAATGACATTTTATTAATTTTTTTTACTTGTTTTTTCAATATATATATATATATATATTTTAATTGATTTCAGAGAGAGGAAGGGAGGGGGGGGAGCGAGAGAAATGTCAATGATGAGAGAATCATCGATTGGCTGCCTCCTGCACACCCCCTACTAGGGATTGAGTCCACAACCTGGGCATGTGCCCCGCCCGGGAATCACACTGTGACCTCCTGGTTCATAGGTTGATGCTCAACCACTGAGCCACATGGGCTGGGCTGGGCTTACTTGTTTTTTCTTTTTTGTTTCCCTTCTTAAGACGTATGTTTCCACAAGGGCCAGACCACAGCTGTTCTTGTTCCCCACGCTATTCCCAGTTCCTGGCACACGGATGTGGCCGTGGCCATCTCTCAGGTGAATAAACCTTGCCTGACCACTCAGTGGAGCCGGCAGACTGGCCCCCTCGTCTTCCACTGCCTCCCTGCTTGATGCTACCGCCCTGCTGTCCTGCCCTCTTGTCACACTTGCCTGCCTCTGTTGTGGCATTATCAAGGCGTATTTCCCGTCTTCTTAGCTCCCCTTCAACCAGACAGGTTGCTCTTTAGGCAGCGACTTTTCTGGAATAGATGGGAAAACTCGTATTGATGCTTGTGGTGGTGGACTTTCATTTTGTAGCTCACAAATCTCTGTTTTCAGGTCTCTTTTCCTTGAGCCCCAGAGCTGAATTACCATTCACCTCGGGCCCTTGCCTCGATCATCCCAAGATGATCTTACTATGCCTCCGTTTCCTTATCTGTAACATGGGGACAATAAGAGTTAGTACTCATAGGGCTATTGTGAGAGTAATACTACTTGCAAAAAGCTGAGAATGGTAAGAATTGGCTCTATTACTCCTCGGCTTGCCCAGCTGCCCCACTTCCCTGCCTTTCAGGATGGCCCCTGACTAGAACACTTAGGATGGAACACAGTGGCGTTGGGTGTTTTGGTAGCATGTTCCAGCTGTGTTGTTGTGACACAGTGGTACCTAGATTTGTTACTAATAGTACATAATGTGCTACAGTTTGTAAATAATCTACCTTATCTTTTTGATAAATCAGAGGAGATTTAAGGTTATGCCTTTGAACTCATCTCTCCATTACTCTTGCTCTCGTGTGTTGCCAGGCTAAGGGGGAGGGGATGTGGCATTACTGCTAGTCCCTCAGGATGGTCACATGACACTGCTTATCTGTCCTGGGCCTGAGCCTGCGTTGTGTGCTGTGATGGATATGTCATAAATACTCAGGTTGCACATCACTGGGATTCTTCACCTCCTCACAGAATTAATTTTGGTTTAATCAAAACATGGGTTTCCCTGGCCAGTGTGGCTCAGTTGGTTGGAGCGTCGTTCTGTACACCGAAAGGTCGCAGGTCTGATTCCTGGTTAGGGCACATACCCAGGTTGTGAGTTCGATCCCCGGTCAGGGTGCAGTCAGGGAGCATATGTGTTGCAACCAATCAATGTTTCTCTCTCATAGTGATGCTTCTCTCTCTCCCTCTCTCCATTCCTCTCTTTCTAAAATCAATACACTTATCCTCAGCTGAGGATTAAAACACACACACACAAATTTAAATGCAGGAGGCAGCCAATCAATGATTCTGTCGTCATTGATGTTTCTCTCTCCCTCTCCCTTCCTCTCTGAAATCAATAAAAATATATTTAAGAAATTTAAAAAGCATCAACCAATAAAAAACTATGGGTCTAGTCCAGCCGTGGGCAAACTACGGCCCGCGGGCCGGATCCGGCCCGTTTGAAATGAATAAAACTAAAAAAAAAAAGACCGTACCCTTTTATGTAATGATGTTTACTCTGAATTTATATTAGTTCACACAAACACTCCATCCATGCTTTTGTTCCGGCCCTCTGGTCCAGTTTAAGAACCCATTGTGGCCCTCGAGTCAAAAAGTTTGCCCACCCCTGGTCTAGTCTGTAGTTCTGGAATGTGGCCTGTCACAGTGGCTGATTTTGTGGTACATGTCTCTACTACCAGATTCCATGCTGTGTTTGGTAAGCTTAGATTTCTTTTCTTTCTCCTCGACCTCTCCAATGTATTGCCTGACTCTTTATGGGAGAATAAATGTCAACTCTAGCCTATTTGAACAGTATAAAACTTTGATGGGTTTTATGGAACAGATAATCTGGTAGCAGCTAACATTTGTTTAGCCCTTTATAGGTTTAAACCACTCATATATTATTTTAATTCATTTAGTACTTGGTAGAGCCTTGTGGAAACTAGAATAGAAAAGCTCCTGTTATTCACACTTTAACGATAAGAAAAACTGAAGCTCAGTAAAGTTAAGTAGGATCTTGTTCAGGTTCCACTGCGAGTAGGTGCTAATATGAGGATGTTCATTATTTCACTTATTTAGCCGACAACATGTGCCCACCGTGTGTTAGGGACTGTGAAGGTCATGGTGATAGAGAGTTTAACCTGAGTCTTCTAACTCCGGATTCTGTGTGCTGTCTCTTATAGAGGACTAGAGGCCCAGTGCACGAATTTGTACACGGGTGGGGTCCGGCCAGCCTGGACCAATCGGGGCTGGGCCAGCTAGGAAGGGGCGCCACAGGAGGTTGGCCGCCCAGCACCCCCTATCCCCTCCAGTCGAACTCCCAGTAGAACTCCTGGCCAAGGAAACAATTTGCATATTAGGCTTTTATTATATAGGACTAGAAGCCTGATGCATGAAAGTCATGCAAGGGGCTTGGCCCTCGCAGTCACGGCGGCTTGCCTTGGCCCTCGCAGCAGCGGCTTCGTCCAGAAGGATGTCCGGAAGGTTGTTTGGCTGTCCAGTCTAATTAGCATATTGTGCTTTTATTATAGATGCTCACTGTGTTATGGGTTATAATAATTTAGCCCAAGTGTTTCCCTGAAGGCCCAGCTTTCTAACCGTGGTGCTGACAGGAGCCCACTGCGCCACCGTGCACTCCCGAGCGTCCTCCTCCCTCCCCCGGGCTGATCTGTGCCCTTCTCCTGTTACCTGTGAAAATGACTGCCTCAGCCCTTCTACTTGCAGGATTATCAGAATAGTTTGAATGATCTCCATACAGTTCTCCGGCTAGACTCAAGTATTGTGGAGGCCAAGATGGAACTGGAAGAGGTGACCAGATTCCTTAATGTGAAGGATCAGGCAGCATCACTCAACAAAGAAAAGGAGAGAAGGAAAATTGAGATTCAAGAGGTATTTGTATTTGATTATCTTTGAAAGTACTTTTTGGGGGATGTTATATTGGATTCTAAGGTCATGTTCCTGTGAGTTCTACCAGTTTCTTTTAAATTTTGTGTTTTTTTATTTTGATGCCCAATGAAGAAATTTAAACCGATTGTAAAGACAAACTTTTCCTGTGCCGTGGTTTAGCCTGTGTCTTTTCCTGGTTTGGTCCATGGACAGTATTGGGAGTCTGCATTAGGTTTTTCTGTTCTTTGCCCCTGTCCCCCATTCCCTCCCTGTCTGGCCTGTGTTTTGTATTGCTTCCATGCCAGACTGCGCTGGGAGCCTATGGCCACTGAGCTTTGCTTTAGGGTGGACCCAGAAAATGCTGACAGGACTGATTTTGTTTCAATGGTCCTGGCAAGCCACATGCCATAGAGATTTTCCAGTTTGATTCAGACCTTTTAGCACTCTAAGACTGGCCTCCTCAGAGATTTTTGGACTACGTTTGATTTCAGATTAAATTGGTGTCTTGTGCGATATAGCTTTCTGCTTTTGCCTTCAGTGAAGAATATCAATCATGAATTCCTGTGTATTCATGAATACTAATGAATACTAATATTATCACATTACATTTCCACTAAGAGTAAGGAGCTAAAATGTGAGAGGCCAGGAAGTGTTTTTCCTTTAAGGATGGAAGAAAACTCTTTTAAGAGAATTGAAAAATAAGTTTACTTCTCTATTAAAGAAATAACTAAAAGTTATGAAAAAGAGATAAAGTTGTTATAGGTCTTCTTTTATACAGCAGCATTATTCATGGAAAATTATAACAAGAGCCCTGGCTAGTGTGGCTCAGTTGGTTGAGCGTCATCCCATGCACCAGAAGGTTACTGGTTTGATTCCAGCACATGCCTGGGTTGCAGGCTCGATTCCCAGTAGGGAGTATGCAAGAGGCAACTGATTGATGTTTTGCGCTCACATTGATGTTTCTCTCTCTCTCTCCTTCTTCCTTTCTTTCTCTCTAGAAATCAACAAACTATTCTTAAAAAATTTTTTTTCAATGTTAAAAATATTTTAAATTTAAAAAATGCTTTTTTGAATGAATACTAATACCTTAAAACTTCTCTTCCTCAAAAAGTAGATTTTATGATTACAGACTACACATTTTCACTTAAGAACTTGACTAACTACAGTGTACTTGTGTTTTTCAGTTCCTTCCCATTGTAATAAATGTAACGTGGGATGTGTGCGGTGGCTGTTTGTGTCAGGGTGTAATTTTTTTTCCTTGTGAAGGTGAATGAAGGCCATGAAGAGCTTGGAAGGACCCCCGAGGAGGTCTGCACGGGCTGCCCTGCCTCTGAGGGGGCCACCAGCCGTGGGCCACCAGAATACTATGAGAAACTGCCCATCACCAAGCCCAACAATGCCTATGAATTCGGGCAGGTGATGAACGCTGTCAGTGCTCGAAAAGATAAAGCAGCCTGTGCACATCTGTTAGCCATCACTGAACCGAAAGATCTGCCAGCGTTGCTGAGTAACAAACTCGAAGGGGATCTATTCCTCCTCCTCATTCAGTCTCTGAAAAGTGAACTTATTGGTAAAGATCCCTCATTAGTATATCAGCATCTTCTATATCTGAGTAAAGCAGAAAGGTTTAAGGTAAGTGGCAGAGTATCTCATTGAAAGAGACTGATTTTTACAGGCTTTCTACAACTTTGACATGTTAATGTTTTATGCTAATGTAATTTTTCTCCTTCTTTCAGATGATGTTGACCCTAATTAGCAAGGGCCAGAAGGAGCAAATTGAACAGCTTTTTGATGACCTCTCGGGCACACCAAACAAACATTTTACTTTAGAAGATGTACAGGCCCTAAAAAGGCAGTATGAGCTTTAAATCAGGATTGTTGTTAGATCTCTTCCATGCATGCATGTGCTCCAGTAACACTAGGGAGACGGTATTGTCATACAGTTGCATGGATAAAACCTTGCTTAGAAAAGATCCCTGGGTCTGGACTATAAAATATTTTACTTATTTTTATACATAGAACATGTATATTCTACAATCTGCTTTTTATCAGTTGTAAATATTTTCTTACGTACCAGAGCTAACATCTTTATATTTAATAATAAGTATATTTGGAACTTATTCAGATGCATTTTAATTTATATCATACATTTCCTTTAATAACTTGTTAAAAATTTTGAGTTAAATTGCATTTCTTTGGGCTATGAAGGCATCCACTTAGGTTTGACAGAAATATATTTCTTTAAAATGCATTTTTAAAAGTGAAAATCATTAACAGTGATTATGTCACCTTTATTTCCTGCTAACACATACATATAAGTCCCATTTTATACTACTTGTATATTACAGTCTGCTAAGATAAAATGCAATACTTAAATCCATAATATGAAATGATTATTAAATAAATTGTGATTATCAATTTAAAGCTTTAAGAGGAACTTATTTTTTCTAATATGGAAGCATTGCCTAATAATTAAGAACAAAAATTGCCAAAAATTTCTACCACTTTTTACTAGACTTTAAAAAGCTCCTTTCCCTTATAAATTGCTTGTATAAGCAGTAACAAAACAACAAATACCTAAGAGCAAACTAAGCCTTCATTTCTGTTTGCATTGTCAACCCCATATTTCCCCAAATATTTAAATGTCTTCTTGCCCTCTTTCATCCCTCTTTTAAGCAGGACCATGTTTATTCCCTTAATGTCAAAGGAAAAGTGAAGAACTCTTGAAGCTCTTTTGTTAACTGAGGGTAAAGGTATTTCTTAGAATAAAACATTCGGTTTCTATCAGTATACCATCAAACATATTCCTGTAGTCTTCAGTCAGTTCTCTTTTTCTGGAGCATTTTCTTCTTTAGAAGTGAAGATAAAAGAAGAATATCACTAATTGTTTTATCTAATTTTTTTATAATTATAGAATATTTTTAATTTGTTTTATTGATTTCAGAGAGGAAGGGAGAGGGAGAGATAGAAACATCAATAATGAGAGAGAATCATTGATCGTCTGCCTCCTGCACACCCCCCAATGTGGATCCAGCCCACAACCCAGCATGTGGCCTGACCAGGAATCGAACTGTGACCTCCTGGTTCATAGGCCTACGTTCAACCACTGAGCCACACCAGCTGGGCTAATTACAGAATATTTAAATATCATTGTGGGTAAATGGTGTCTTTCAAAACATGCCATTTTTCTTAAACTTTTTTGTTCATAAATGAAAATCTGTAATAATATTTAGTTCTAGTCTTCAAGCCAACAAACAAACCAGTTTTCTCCTTTGTAATGCTATTAAATTTGTGTAAAAGTAAGTGATGGAGTGTGTTAGTTACTTTAGAACAGGGACATAACAAGGAAACACCGCCTCTTGTTGACAGTCACATACCTAACACCTAGCTGCATGGGACTAAGCTGCCTGCCCGCTGGTGGCAACCTGTCCCGCGAGGAGGTGGAGAGCAGTGAGTGGATGCCTGTCTGTCCCAGTTGTGTGGGTCGCAACTAGAGAAATCCACTTCTCTCCAGCAGCACCCAGCGCACTGAGGCCACACTTCCGTTACTGAGGCGAGGAAAAGGAAAGTAAAGGAAGCAGATAAGAATGTCAAAGCGCATTAAAGGAACACGGGTCCTGCTGACCTCTCAGGACTTCATCAGGAAGTCCGTCCGCAAGCCCCTGGAATATCCCACTCGATCTCCCCACCGGGTGCGTGGGTACCCCCAGCGCCCCAAGTGCTAAACCCACACCTGCTCCCACTCTGTGGCCGGAGCCTTGTACTAGTACATGCCCCTGCGTGCGGTAGCAAAAGCAGATCCACTGATCAGTGCTCTCAGAAAAATGGACCAGGGTGTGCAGGCCAGGAAGAAACTGCAAACGAGCTATAGCACCGCTTTCTGGAAAACAAACGAAGTTTCCAGCAGTCAGCATGGTGAGTTATAAGAAAAGATGTAAGAGATTAAGGATTCTGCCACAAGAGGGAGCGATAAGAGTGGAACAAGTCTTCCCATTCAAAAACTGAGGAAACCTTCAGGTAGGAATCCCAACAGTCACTGCCACCTCAACTGTGAGAACAGCAACACAAAACTACAAGGAACATGACAGATCAAGAAAATGTCACCCCCAAAAGTCACACAGCACTTCTGCCTCCACTCTCCTGCCGCAGGGCGCTGACCCATCACAGAGAGGCTGAAGAGTAGTCTTGCCTTTGCCAGGAGGGAAAGAAAACCAGGTATTGGTTCAGACAGATAATGCCTCCCAAAGGAACTACTTGTATAAGTAAACCTGATATTTCTACCATTTTATATGCAACGTTACTGTGCTTCTCTCAGACTTTTCCCTGCTCCAAATGTTCTCTTCCCTCCTCCCTCTCCCAAGCCACAGGCTAACTCCATTCTTGGCCCTCCTTTAAAACCCAATGCAGTGTCACTCCCAGCTTCTCCTCCCCTGCCCTGGCTGTGAAGTGACCCGTGAGCTTTCTCAGTGCCACGTGCGTGGCTCTGTCAGCTCTAACCATTGTTTTGGTGGTTTGGGTTGACTTATCCGTGACAGAGACTGTCTGGCTTAGTTCTGTCCTCCATATTGTTCAGCAACATGCCTGGCACAGTAGAGCGTCAATAAATCATCTTTGATGAGTGAGAAGCTAATTACTAACTTTTATTTCAGTAGAATGTTAGCACTTGGATGTGATGGGTTGCTGTAAAAGAAGTCTCAAAGAAAGTAACTCTATACCGAGTGCGGTGATTTCCCAGCAAGTTCTTCAGTACCTTGTAAGCAAAGTTTCTAGACCTAAGAGTGAAAGACATAATACTACAACAGAAAAAGGGGGAAAACCCAAAGGCCCTTAACCGTAAGTGACAGTACCCAGAGGTATATGACACCCAAGCAGATCACAATCACTGCGCTTAAGTTTACACATTACTTTTCTGTTAATCCTGAGGACATTTTTTCCATTGATTTTTAGAGTGGAAGGGAGGAAGGGAAGGAGGAGTAAAGAGAGACAGGAACATCAATACGATAGAGACACATGGATTGGTTGCCTCCTGCATACACCCCAACTGGGACAGGGATTGAACCTGTAACCCAGGTACATGCCCTTGGAGGAGTAAAGAGACAGGAACATCAATATGATAGAGATACATGGTTGCCTCCTGCACGCACCCCAACTGGGACAGGGATTGAACCTGCAACCCAGGTACATGCCCTTGATGGGGAATTGAACCAATGACCCTTTGGTGCGTGGGCTGGTGCTCAAACCACTGAACACACCGGCCAGGGGAAGTTTACATATTTTTAAATGATTAAGAAGTATCTAGGCTGACATGATGGTTGCTTCAAATAACACATGAAATTATTTCTCAACTGTATATAATATAAGAGATTCATTTCTGGTTCATGGACCATATGAACACCCCTCGTGAATATAACCTGAATCTATGCCTGGCCAGTGTTGCTCAGTGGTTGAGTGTTGACCTATGAACCAGGAGGTCACGGTTTAATTCCCAGTCAGGGCACATGCCCAGGTTTCAGACTCGATCCCCAGTAGGGGGTATGCAGGAGGCAGCCCATCAATGATTCTTATTGATGTTCCTGTATCTCTCTCTCTTCCTTTCTCTCTGAAATCAATAAAAATATATTAAAAACAACAACAACAGAACCTGAATCTAGGGCTCCACATCTAACTATGTACCATCAGTTCATGTCCAGGCTCTGCAGTTGTTACCACATGATCCCATGATGACCACTACCCTGGTCATCCTCAGCCGCCTGACCTTAACAGAAGGAACCTCTCCAATCAGTTTCGCTTCCTTTGACTTATCACCAATTTTTTATTAGCCAGTTGGCACCACTCAGGCCAAAAGGACCACCCTAAAGACTGATGTGGAGGTCATATAATCCTGTCTCAATTCTCTACATAAGGCAGGGGTGGGGAACCTTTTTTCTGCCAAAAGCCATTTGGATGTTTAGAACATAATTCTTGTGTCATACAAAATTATCAACTTAAAAATTAGCCTGCTATATAACTTCCCCCTAATGCCTTGGCAGGGCCAGACCAAATGATTTCACAGGCCTTACAAGGCCCTCTGGACGTTCCCCACCCCTGACATAAGGGCTATCTGTTAGCAGAAATCTCTGCCTATGGAGTACAATGCATTTTGTCAAATTTGAAGGTTTTGATGTCTTTAGCCAAAAATTAAAGGAGATGGTAGAAAGATCGATGACAAACAAGCAGGAGATAGAATACAAGAGATTCCCACAACTGCCTTCTCTTTTCTTCTCTAGCAAACTGCTTTCGAGCATAGACTATGGCATCAGAAAAACCTGGAATTAAACCTCAAATCCGTTTAACCTCAAAGACTAGGTTCCTCTTCTGAAAAATGAGGCGGGATATACCAATTCAGGGCTGTAATGCTACGTAGTTAGTATAAAATGCCAGTGGTGCTTAATAAGCATCTTTCATGTGTATAATTGCTTTCTTCCCGTAAGTCTAATAATGATCTCATCTATGTTGTTAGAGAAAAGATTAAAAAGCTCTTTGGAAATATTATGTGCACTTTCAGGTTTACTTACTGGATAAGAAACACACATGAAGACCCCTCCAATAGTAGTAGGATAGCCAGGGAAGTGGCTGGCCTTGCAAGACTGGTGCCATCTCTTGGACATTAGTCACGTTAAAACGTAAATCCAAGAGTTTTCTCCACAAGTTGAGCTGCACTGAGAATCTCTCTGTAATAGCACGTGTCTTTCTTTTCTAACCTGTCACCGTTTTGGGGTGAGCCAACACAAAGAGTGGTACATTCAGAGTCTTGCATAGGCTGGTGGGTGCTTAGGAAGTGTTGAATGAATGAGTCTAGAGGACCACTGCCCTAAAATGTGCTCTGGTATCCAACATTCAGATTAGATAAGTTCCTATGACTGATAAGTTTACAGAGACATTGTAAATATTTCTCGAGTAGTTCTTGGAATATTTGCATCAGGATCACTTGGAAATCTTATAGAGCCTAAGGGGTAGGGAATCTAACTTTTAAAGCATCTATTGTGATTCTTAGGCAACTTGGAATACGCAACCCACTGTCCTAGAAGCTGAGGAGTGGGCAATAATATCTGACTTCCATAAGCGTTGTAAATGAACAAAACTATTTATGGCCCCGAGAATAAAGTATTGTGGGGCATAAATAAAAAGGATAGCTCCTCCTTTTATTGAGTTTATATGATTAATTTGGGAAAACAAAACAAAACAAAATAAATCCAAGTTCAAGATACTCTAGTATAGTGGTTCTCAACCTGTGGGTCGCGACCCCTTTGGCGGTCGAACGACCCTTTCACAGGGGTCGCCTAAGACCATCCTGCATATCAGATATTTACATTACGATTCATAACAGTAGCAACATTACAGTTATGAAGTAGCAATGAAAATAATTTTATGGTTGGGTCACAACATGAGGAACTGTATTTAAAGGGCCAGAAGGTTGAGAACCACTGGTCTAGTAGAAAAAAGTATCAATGAACTGTTCAAGTGTCAAAGTTATTAAAAGGTCCAAGAGTTAATCAAGAACAGTTTCAGGAAGAGGTAAACTCTAAGCCAGGTTTTTAAACAGATGGGCGTTTGAGAAGCCAGAGCTCAGTAGGACTGAACTATTCTGCAGAATTCAGTATCACCCTGCACTGGACACTTCGCCTCCAACTCAGCCACTGCAGATGCTTTGCTGGGGAGCAGGCAGAGACCAGACAAGACATTTGCAAACCAAATAGACTGGGGTTTCTACTTTTCCTTAGGGTTTTAATAGTGACCTAAGTCAAATCCAAAAATAGCTGAAAAT